TCCTCCCTTCATGAAATATACTGTCTAGAGGAGATAAATATCAAGCAGCTAACTATGAAATAACACTTAGGGGAGATTCTGTGAAGAGGTTTTGGGTAATGGGAAGCCACTAACTTCAGGGCCCAATGTGAGCAGACTGCCAAGGAAGGTCTCCTGAGAAAAGGTCAGTTCAGAGGAGACCTGAAGAATGAATATGATTTCAGTAGGTGATGATGAGGTGGGAGAGAAGACACCTTCTGACTTGAAGGAATGGCATGTGCTTAGGCCCTGTGGTGGATTAGTAATTCACACTCTCATGGAACCGGGGAGCAACCAGTAGAACTGAGCAGACAAGAAAATGATCAGAGATGGATTGGGAGAGATGGGTATTATCAGTACGTGCATGGCCTCAGAGGTTGTATTAAGGATTTGTACTGTCTCCTAGGAGTGTTTAGGTCAGGATTTGCATTTTGAAAAGCTCAGTCTGGCTGCCAAGTGCACAAAGAGTTAGAACAGATGCTGGAAGATCAAACATAAGGTTGGAATAAAAAGGGCTCTGATGTTGGCCAAGAAGGGGGTCTGGCTGCAGTGACAAAGAGTATTGGAGACACGGAGCACAGGTTAACACTGCAGCTTAGAACCTCAGAGACATGGGTGCTCTACACGGAAAGATTTTTTGTTATTTTAGTTGCTTGATTTTTCAGGTGTTTCCTACATATTCTTTTTTTAGAATTCATGTAGCTCAGTGACCTCTTCAACAGTAAAAACCATTTGATTGGAGAGACAAACAAGGAAAAAGCAAGAAATAACAGGAACTCTCATTCATTGCTGATGGGAATGAAAAATGGGATAGCCCCTTTAGAAGACAGTTTGACAGTTTCTTACAAAACTAAATATACCCTACAAAACAGTAATTATGCCCCTTGTATGCACTTGACTGAATAGAAAACAGGTCCATACAAAATCTTGTACGCAAATATATATAGCTGCTTTATTCATAATTGCCCAAACTTGGAAGCAACCAAGATGTCCTTCAGTAGATGAATAGATAAACAAGCTGGGATACATCCAGACAATAGAATATTATTTAGTTCTGAAAAGAAATGAGCGATAAACCATGAGAAGACATGGCAGTACCTTGAAAGCATATGGCTAAGTGAAAGAAGACAATCTGAAAAGGCTGCATAATATATGATTCCAACTCATGATGTTCTAGAAAAGGCAAACTATGGAAACAGTACAAAAAAATCACTGGTTGCCAGAGCTTCAGGGGAGAGTGAAAGGGCAGAGCACAGGAGATGTGTAAGGCAGGGAAATTATTCTGTACAATACTCTAATGGTGGATACATGTCATCATACATTTGTCAGACCCATTGAATGTATAATGCAAAGGGTGAAGTTTCGGGTAAACTATGAACTTTAGTTAATAGTAACGTATCAATATTGGTTCCCCAATGAGAACAAATGTATTACATTAATGGAATATTAGGGAAAACTGAGGGCAGGGTGAGGGGGTATATGGGCACTTTGTGCTTTCTGATACATTTTTCTGTAAAACTGAAACTGCTCTAAAAATTAGCCCATTAATTTAAAAAATACAAAAATCATGGCATGGCCATGAACTACTTGAAAACCCAAACTAAACAGACCATTTTGTCACACAGCAAACAATGGAATATATTTTCGCTTTTTGCCCAGGGAGCTTCCTTATCTTAGCACAGAGAGATGGATGATGCCAGTACTTCCCAGACAAATGTGAGAGATTTAGAAAGCTGAAGCAGCTGCACCAAAAATTATGCATGTTGTGGTCTCTGAAAAATAGAAAAACTATCATGAAGTGATTCCTCTCACTTTTGGGTTTTCCCTCTGCTCAACACTTAAAGGTGTGCCCAAAGGATAGCCACAACAAGGGCCCTGGGGCAGGATGGAGTAGTGTCAGAAAGCTCAGCACATTCCCCAAGAAACTACAAATTTTTGGAGGCAGATGTTACATCACGTCATCAGGGCCTCTCTGTGGTGATACCAACTCAAATCATCACAGTTTTACAGGAGAAGTGGATTAATATTTTTCTGCTGTTCCACACCTCCTCCCCCAAAGGCCCAAACCAGAGAAAGGTACAAATTTAATGTCAAGTGAGGTTACAGGCTAACTGTTCAGGTGTTAATTGTTAGTGATTCTCAGCCATGCCATGTGATCCTGACTAAATGTGGACCAAGAGAATATTCAGTTGATGTTTTCTTCTCATTGCTCTGCTAATTAATTTAGAAATGTGAATTGACCCAATACTCAGTGACAGGCCTTGTGTTCAGTTTGCGATAATTAGGTATCACTAGTCATTCAGTCACACCTTACATCCCCAGTCTGTTTTCCTGGGAAGAAATTAGGAAGCAATGAGGTCTGTCTTCATAAAAGCGAACAGTCTTTCAAATTTGCATCCAGTATTGTGAAGAACAAAAGCTGTCTTTTTCTTTGTCAATTTCCTTTCACATATTTGATGATCTTGGTATAATAGGATGTTCTTGTCTATATTAACCTCAGAAGAATAAGAATTTTTTTATGAAGAGAGGCTTCATAGAAAGATGCTTTGCACTCATTTCCAATACACGGTCAATGCCTGGATGCCAGTCACACACTGTCAATTGCTTAGTTGGCACAGTAAGTGTGGATGTGCATGTGTAACAAAGTGATTCTGGAGAAGTTTATTCTTATTGAGAATAATGCTACTATTGATCTTAAAAATTTAACTATGTATGATTAATGCCACTTATGATGAAAGCTACTGCTACCAACAGTAATTTTAAACTGTATTTTTGTAGTTGCTGTTAAGCATGAAACATGTTTGTTTGAATTAAGAAAAGACGCCCCACTTTTGTTGAACAGTTCCTACTTCTATATTCCTCCATTAATAAAATCAAGAAGCCCTAGCCAGTTTGGCTCAGTGGAGAGAGTGTTGGCCTGTTGACCAAAGGATCCCAGGTTCAATTCTGGTCAAGGGCACATACCTCGGTTGCAGGCTCCTCCTCAGCCCGGGCTCTGGTCGGGGCCACATGCAGGAGGCAACCAATCGATGTGTTTCTCTCACATCGGTATTTCTTTGTCTTTCCCTCTTTTCCACTTTCTCTAAAAATCAATGGAAAAATATCCTCAGGTGAGGAGTAAAAAAAATAATTTAAAAAATCAAGAAAATATGAAACAATACATTCTTAATGTTCAGATTCTCCAAGTTGCTGAAGTGGTTGTAATGGTTAGATGCTACCTCTTCCATGGACCTTTCTCCACCCCACACTCCCACCAAAAAAGATTCAGTTCCTAGAAAGAAGGAAAGTTAGTTGCTCTTTCTTGAGGGAATTACTCACTATAATAGTTAACAGTCATTGCATGTGCTTCTGTGTCATAGGCACAATACTAAATGTCTTAACATGTATTCTCTCATTTAATCTTCCTAACAACCCCATCTTAGTTTTCTGTTATTACCAAATTTGTAACTGTGGAGAATGTTTCTGAAAAATTAAGGTCACACATATAGTAAAATAGCAATGCCAGGATTTGAACCCACATATCATCAACATGGCTATCCTACATTAACCGCTGTGCACTTGTTTCTACCTTATGGAATACGCAGCTGAGCCCTGGCTGGGTAGCTCAGTTGGTTAGAGCATCGTCCTTATACACCAAGGTTGCCAGTTTGATTTCCAGCTAGGGCACATACAAAGATCAACCAATGAACGCACAAATAAGTGGAACAACAAATCAAAGCTTCTCTCTCCCTCTCTAAAATCAATCAATAAAGATAAATAGAAAAGCAAACAAAGCTGAGGTTTTGTGAACATTAGTGGACACTTGTCACGCTCAGCTGGGACTGTTTTTGAGCCAAGTTGTACAAGCTCAATGTGAACCTCTACCTCCATGACCACTACCACACACACAAACACACCTGCTAGTGACTGTCCTACAGAAACTGTATGAGCCTGAGTCTATAGAAATGGTCTTCAGATAGGGCAATAACAATTTCAGAGAAGTTAACCAGAAAGACACTCCCCAACATTATTTTTAACTTTTCTAAAATGTGTTGGCTTCACTTTTTATAAACTGGGTATGTCTCCCCATCAGAGAGAAAAGAATGACCAGTGTGCTTTTCTAGCAAGCAGTCTGGTTTTATCCACTAAAAGTAGGGAAGGTCTAAGCAAACAGTAGGCCATGTTAGCTTCAGTTGCCAAGAGAGAAGAAGAGGGAATAGCAAATGTCCCAAAACAAAATTCATCTTCTGTTCTTGCTCCCAGTCTGTTGCCCAGATCATCAGTAATTTACCTCAGCTAGTTGCCTCTGTGTCTGTGTCTCATTCCGTTCATCTTGGTGGACTACATGCAAGAAGCTGATACTCTACAAAGGGCTCTGTTGAGACTATACCCTAAGGCGGGTATTTCCTTAGACCCACATTGAGTGTGTTTCAAGCTAAGACCTTATAAACTGTTCAAGGCCAGGATCTGTGGGATACAGCTTCACAGCCTTCTTCACCCAGTGGGTAGTGTGAGAGGCAGGGTCCTTAACGGCTCTTAACGTATGTGACAGGCTGGCAGGCAGATACTCCCTTCAGTTACCTTGTACCAAAGGCTGAGGGAGGCCTCTTAGTCGGGTATTTACATTTAATGAAAGGATGCGCACCCTTCTCTTCATTTGTCTCCTGGGGACAGTTAAGATCCTGATAGATCTCAACATCAGCCGATATAAAAGACAACCACACAGGACTGAGGCCAGGCCGAGCCCACCAGGCACGCGGGGGCCCTCCCTTCGCTCCCCGCCCACCCTCGCTCGCTTGCTCGTGCTCCCTCTGGCGGTTCTCTGTTAGTCCGCGGGCTCCTTAGCCGCCCTCCCTAGTCCCCGAGCTTGGGACACACGGACCGGTGTTGTCAGCTCAGAGAGGCCGGAATCGGAGCATCGGAGCGTCTCCCGAGTGCCTTTCATCTGAGAAGTTCAAGGCACTTTGTAGAGCTTCTGCCACAGGCCGCGCATGGGCCTTGCAGCACATTTGTAAGCAATGGCTGCCATCCGGAAGAAATTGGTGATTGTTGGGGACGGAGCCTGTGGCAAGACTTGCTTGCTCATCGTTTTTAGCAAGGACCAGTTCCCAGCGGCGTATGTACCTATGGTGTTTGAGAACTATGTGGCAGACATTGAAGTGGATGGAAAGCAGGTCGAGTTGACCTTGTGGGACACAGCCGGGCAGGAGGACTATGATCGCTTGAGGCCCCTCTCCTACCCGGACACGGATGTGATCCTGATGTGTTTCTCCATCGACAGCCCTGATAGTTTAGAAAACATCCCAGAAAAATGGGCTCCGGAAGTCAAGCATTTCTGTCCCAATGTGCCCATCATCCTGGTTGGGAACAAGAAGGATCTTCGAAATGATGAGCACACAAGGCGGGAGCTAACCAGGATGAAGCAAGAGCCAGTCAAACCGGAAGAAGGCAGAGATATGGCAAACAGGATTGGCGTTTGGGGGTACGTGGAGTGTTCAGCAAAGACCAAAGATGGCGTGAGGGAGGTTTTCGAAATGGCCACGACAGCTGCTCTGCAAGCCAGACGTGGGAAGAAGAAATCTGGGTGCCTTGTTTTGTGAGCCTGCTGCAAGCACAGCCCTCACGCGTTCCTTTTGAAGTGCTGTTCATTAATCTTAGTGTATGATTCCTGGCCTTTTTCATTTATCTATAATTTACCTAAGATTACAAGTCAGAAGTCATCTTGCTACCAGTATTTAGAAGCCAACCATGATTATTAATGATCTGGCCCGCCGGGTCCTCTGCCACAGCTCCAACAGCCGCCTCTGCACTCCCACCCGATACACCAGGCGCTAATTCAAGGAATGCCTTCACTTCTTGCTTCTTTCTAGAAAGAGAAATGGTAACTTTTGTGAGTTAGGCTGTAACTCCTTCATAACTAACGTGCTTGCCTGACATCTGTCAGCTGCAAGGGACTCTGGGGAGCTACCCCTTCAGGGCTTGACTCCTGAGCAGGTTTCCTTGTCGTGCCTCTGGAGTGGGCATCCCGTTTTCAAAATGTGCTCAGCCAGAGAGGCCCAGGCTCATGCAGCTGTGGCAGTTCCAGTTCTGTGGTTTCATGTTAGTTACCTTATAGTTAGTGTAATTAGCGCCACCTAATGTATGTTACCAAAAAATAAATATATCTACCCAAACTAGATGTAGTATGTTTTGTATAATTGGATTTCCAAATACTGATATTTGTCATCCCCACAGAAAGTGTATTGGTTTTTTTAAAAAAGAAAGTGTATTTGAAAATAAAGTCAGAAGGAAGATTCATTTTTAAAATTAAAAAAATAAATAAATAAAAAAGACGACCACACAAAGCTCTTCCCAGAGCATTACCTTGAATTCAGTGCCTTTTATTTGTTGTCAAAACAATCCTCAAGGAAAGAGCTTAGATTTTATATAGTAAATCCACTCCACCGTTCCCACCATCTGTCTCTATAATTGTGTACATGGTATTCATTCATTCAACAAATATCAAATTGGATACCTTCAGTATGCCAGGGACTGTTTAGGCTCTAGGGATAGAGCCGTGAAAAAGCAGATACATATCTCTCTTCATGAAGCTCATTCTAGTGAAGAGAGACAAGCAATAAAGAGATAAATAGGTAAAGTGTATGCCATGTTAGATGGTAATAAGTGCTAAGGAGAAAATATAAGGAAGGCAAAAAGAGTGATGAACAAAGATGGGATGAAGCCATTTCAGACGAGTGGGCCAGGCATGCTTCACTTGAAGGGGCATTAGAATAACAACAGGAAGCAGATGAGGAATTTTGCTGCCTAAATAAAGGATGTTTCCTTCTCACCTAGGTCTTTTACAGTCTGTGAGTTGTTTGAGAAAGGAGTCATATGTGTCAGTCATTATCGAATGTGTATTGAGTTAAGCCTTTATAATATAAAGTTGAGTTAGTAAGCCTTGTGCTCTCCTTCACATCATAGTAGGGAAAACGGTCATAAATAAATAATTGCAATGCAGTAAAATGCATAGATATAGAGACATAAAAAGCAAAATGGAAATTGGAAAGATAGAGAAGCAACTAAGCCTAAAGGGAATACGAGAAGGCTTTAGAAAGGAGGTGATATTTAAACAGAGGATTAAAAGATGATAACGGCTAATAATAACAGCTAACCTTGTCCTCTCTTTCAGGGAAATTTTTAATAAAATGTTTTCTTATCTTTATATTTCAAGTTACATTATAGCATATGAGTGAACTTCCTCTGTAACCCTTTCACACAAAAATGCATAGAGTACATGTGAAAGCCACATATGACTCATCCACTTCATTGGTTCTGAAGCCTGGAGCTAACCACTTGGTTACACTGAAAGTGGAGAGAGGAGTAGGTAAAAGAAGACCATTTATTTATTCAATAAATATATGTTGAAGAGTTACTGTGTAGTAGCACTGTGCTCGGGATATTGAATACCATTATTAAAGCAACATGACCTTTATCCCGAAAAAGGTTACAGTCCAGTGATTCCAGGCAAATGGCTTATGAAGGAGTAATGGCACCTTCAAGTGGTTGGTGAAACCAGAGAGAAGAATACATCCCACAGAAAGTTTTAGACAATAAGTCTTGGAAGATACCCAGGGGCTGGGTTATAAATCTAGAAAAATAGCCAATGGCTAGATTATGAAGGACCATGTATGGCAACTAAAGCATTTGGATTTTTAAATTTTGTTCTATGAGGAGTCTTTAGAAATTATAAGTAAAAGAATGATCATTATTGTGTGACCACAGCTCTTTTGTCTAACAGCCTTCTAATATTTTGATGAATTTTCTTATAATCTTTCTAACATATTAATAGTCTATTTTAATTAATAACAATTATCTTTCTAACTATAAATATCTATTTTATAAAATATGGAAAACACAGGAAAGTATTAGGAAGACGAGAAAAAAAACATCTGTTATTCAACCACCCAGAGAAAAACTTTAACAGTTTTATGTATTTTCTTCAAGCATTTTTTCTAAATGTGTATATACATTTTTAATTGTGTATCATAAATGCTATACCCTGGACATTTTCCCATACCTTTAAATATTCTTCAAAAACAAAATCTAATGGCTAGAGAATGATATTCTGGTGTGGGGAAAGAGTGAATTTATTTACTTAAAGACTAGAGGCCTGGTGCACAAAATTCATGCACTGAGGGAGTGTTCCCTCAGCCCAGCCTGCACCCACTCCAATCAGGAACCTCGCGGGGGATGTCTGACTGCCGATTTAGGCTCAGTTAATCCTAAACCAGTGGTCAAACACCCCTCTCACAATCTGGGACCGCTGGCTCCTAACCCCTCTGCCTGCCTGTGTGCTCACCCCTAACTGCCTCTGCCTGATTGCCCCTAACTGCCCTCCCCTGCTGGCCTGATTGAGCCCCCAACTGCCTGCCCCTGCCATCCTGATCTCGCCCTCAACTGCCTTCCCCTGCCAGCCTGGTTGCCTCCAACTGCCCTCCCCTGCTGGCCTGATCTCGCCTCTAACTGCTCTCCCCTGCTGGCCTGATCATGCCCCCTACTGCCCTCCTCTGCCAGCCAATTTGGTTCTGATTGGTCAGTTTCTATGCCAGTTAGCATCAAAAGCTCCACCTCCTAGGCAGCCATTGGATCTTCACAGTTGACCCAGATTTGGTTCTGATTGGTCAGTTTCTATGCCAGGCAGTGTCAAAAGCTCCACCTACTAGGCAGCCATTGGCTCCTTACATTCACCCAGGTTTGGTTCTGATTGGTCAGTTTCTATGCCAGTCAGCATCTCTGGGCCTATCAATGGGGCCTGGTCAGAAAGGTGGGGCTGATTGTGGAGGCCTGGAGAGAAATGGAGGTGCTGCTGTTGGCCAGGCCAGGAGAGAAAGAGAGGCAAGTTCTGATCAATGGCTGCCACAGAAGCTTCAGATCAGACCCTGCCTCTCTCTCTGCAGGCCTCTCTCCAGGCTTGATCCGCAGCCCCCTAGGCAGTCAGTACTTGGTTGGGGGTGCACAGAGGCTCCAGTCAGTGCTGGGTCACCATGGCAACCCAGCACTGACTTCCTGTTTGGTTGAGCCTTCCGTTGTTACGACCCTGGCTCTTTATTATACTAGAGGCCTGGTGCACAAAAATTTGTGCACTCGGGGGAGGGGGGTCCCTCAGCCCAGCCCGTGCCCTCTCGCAGTTTGGGAACCCTTGGGGGATAACCACCTGCTGGCTTAGGCCCACTCCCCGGGGGATTGGGCCTAAGCTGGCAATCAGACATCCCTCTGGCAGCCCGGGAGCCCTTGGGGGATGTACACTTGCCAGCGGGGAGCAGGCCTAAGCTGCAGTCGGACATCCTTAGCGCTGCTGAGGAGGCGGGAAAGGCTTCCACCACCACCGCTGTACTGGCAGCTGTCAGCCTGGCTTGTGGCTGAGCAGAGCTCCCCCTATGGGAGCACACTGACCACCAGGGGGCAGCTCCTGCATTGAGCGCCTGCCCCCTGGTAGTCAGTTTTGTCATAGTGACCAGTCATTCCCAGTCTTTCTGCTGTTAGGGTCAGTTTGCATATTACCCTTTTATTATATAGGATAGATAATATAGTGTATGTTTGAAAACATAGGCTGAGGAGTCACACAGAAGTAGGCTTGAGTCCTTGGCCTGAACTTGCCAGCAGCATGTCACCAGGAACTCAATGCTATAAACCTCAATTTCTTCATTAGTAAAATGGGGATCAAAAAAGGACCTATGTGATAGGTTTTTATGAAGATTGAATAAAGTGTGGTAAGCATTTCAAAGTAACTAGAAATATTAAACACTCAATAAATAAATGGTATTACTATAATTATTAACAAATGTAATTATTATGTATAATAAACTATTAACAACTATTTCCCTCACATTTCAATGCTTATAAAGCATTCTTAACACCCACAAAGACTAACAGATGGTTTTTGTTAGCATGTAACTCTCAGCCACTAATATTGTTTTTTGTGATTAAAAGGACTGAAAGCTATTTAAGTGGCTTTCTTTACAGAAGCCTTTTTTTGTTTTTGCTTGTTTATTTGTTTTTGTTTGTTTTTACTACTTACTAAAAATGTATGGTTCACGCGACAAAAAGATGTTTTTCAAACCAGGAGCATTCAAACCAAAACATGGAATGGCTTTTGATTTGCATTTCCCTAACAGCTAGTGAAGTTGAGCATCTTTTCATATAACTGGTGGCCACCTGTATGTCTTCTTGGGAAAAAAATGTCTGTTTGGGTCCTCTCTCATTTTTGAATTGGACTGATTGTTTTGTTGTTGTTGAGTTGTTTATGTTCTTTATATATTTTGGATATTAGCCCCTTATCAGAGATATTGTTTGCAAAAATCTTCTCCCAGTTGGTTGGCGGCCTTGTTGTTTTGTTGATGGTTTCTTTCGTTGCCTAGAAGCTTTTTAGTTTGATGTAATCCCATTCCTTTATTTTTGCTTTTTCTTCCCTTGCCTTTGGAGTCAAGTTCACAAAAACCTCCCTGAGACCAAAGTCCATAAGTTTAGTAGGTATGTTTCCTTCTATGTACAGTGGGGCCTTGACTTACATGTGTCCCGACTAACGAGTTTTTCGAGATAAGAGCCGTCTCTCAGCCGATTTTTTGCTTT